GATTCAAAAGATCCAAAAATGAATTCCTCAGTTTCCCCTTAAAACATGCTTCTCCTCTACATACTTCCTTCTGTTGATGGCATCAACATCATGAGGTTATTGATACCATCAACAACCTCATACCTAACCAGACTTGAAACCACAGCGTCATCTTTGACTTTTCTCTCTCCTTCATCCTACACATCCTATCAGTTCAATGCAATACAATAAATCACCTACTATGTGTCAAGCACTGCGCAATGGCGCTATCACTTGTCACTTCCCTTCAATTCTGCCTTGGCAAAATCTTTTACATCTCTGTCTCTCTGGGCAAGCTGACACTAAAAAGGGCAGTCAGGAGAAAAGCAAACCAAGGGACTTGTAGAGGTGGTTGCCCTTTGGTAGAAAATCCCAGAGCCTGGACCAGTCTATCCTGTTTTTAAAAGGTAATCATTCTACAAGTCCCTAAAAGCTAACAGAATCTAAAGAAGGAAGGCACCTCAGAGATCACTTAGTCTATCCACTCCTTTCATTGTATGGATAAGGACACTGAAGCTCAGACACATGAAATGACTTGTGAAGATCACACCCACAGCCAATAGGTTCTTAACCTGTAAAAGGCAATACTAAGAGATCAAGCTGGAAAAGCAGGTTGGAGCCAAGCTGTACAGAGTTTTAAATGCCAGATTAAGGAACCTGGATGTTATTTTTTAGGAAGTTGGTGATATGATCAGAGTTATGCTTCAAGAAAACCAATATGACATTCATGGCTAGGACAAAACATTTGTGTGCCCTAGAGAAGGTTGGAAAATTACACCACCATGTGCCTATAACCAATGGCGAACCAAAGACTTGACTCTCATATTGTAGTGCAGGAGAAAGTGTGGGATTTGCACAGTGCTTTGCACATAGTGGGCAATAAATACATTTTGAATTGAATAGAATGCAGGGTCAGCACATCTGGGATCAAAACTTGGCTGTGCTCCTTACTACATGAGTAACTTTTGGGAAAGTCAGTTCTTCTCTCTGGGTCTTAGTTTCCTCATCTGTAAAATGGACTATATGATACGCATCTAAGTTCCCTTCCAGCTCTAAATATAGGCTTGTTCATGAAACACAGGTAACATATTAAAAATAAATACCTGTTTGCCAAGGACAGCAGGCTTTTCTGGCATTAAAATTATGTGTAAGATTAAAAAGTGACTCGTTGCAATTTCTATCTCACATTATAGGGGGGATGCCTACTTTGTATCCCTTAAATGCAATTTTATCAATAACATACAAACTCCCTTATTTGGCCTTCAAAGTCTTTCACAATCTGTCTCCAACCTACCTTTCCTGATGGATTTGCACATTACTCTCCCTTACACACTCTATATCCTGTCCAAACTGTCCTACTCACTCACTGTTCCTCATATATAATATTTTCTCTCTTGCCTCCACACCTCTGCACTGTCTGTCCCTCAGGCCTAGAAAGCTCCCTTTCCTCATTTCCACCTCTCAGATCTCTAACTTCCTTTAAGGTCCTGCTCAATACCCTACATGAGGTTTCCTGATTCTCCTGGGTTGTTACTGCCTTCTTTGAACACAATTACTTGTCTTTAGTTTGTATATATTTTGTATTGACTTGTCTGTGTACATGCCGTTTCCCCTGGTCTAAAGCAAACTCCTTGAGGGCACAGGTGGTTTCATTTTTCTCTCTATAGCCCCAATATCTTGCATGGTGCTTAGTACAAAGAAGGCTTAGTAAATGCTTGCAGTAGGAATAACTGGTAGAAATATGCAGGACAGATTAGAGTGGAGAGAAACTAAAGGTGGGAATATAAATTAATCAGTCCATCTATCAACAAACATTGAAGAATCTATTGAAATAGTCCAGGCAAGAGGTAATGAGGGCCTGCTTGCCTACCTGACTACCTACCTACCATTAGAGTAATAGTGTAGGGAATGGTAAGAGCACAAACTCAAGGGGTATAATGTGAGGTCACAGAATCATAGATCTAAAGACAAAAGGATCTTCAGAGGACATCTAATCCAACCCCTTCATTTTACAGATGAAGAAACTGAGGCCCAGGAAAAGCTGGATCTTAGAGAGTGAGTGGATACAGGTGGGAAGATACAGGGAGAAATAAAAGACGTCTCCAAGGTTTTGTGGTTAAGAGGATGGCGCCATCGATAGTGATAAGGAAATTCGGAGGAGGAAGAGGAGGAAAGAGTTGCTGGAAAGGAAATGATGAGTTTCATTTTGGAAACACTAGATTTGAGGTGTTAACAGGACATCCAGGAAATTGAAATGTTGATCTGGAACTCAAGAGGGAGAATGAGGTTCAAGATAAAGATCTGAGTCATCTTTACAGGGAAGGGGAAGGAAGAGAGGAAAGGGGAGGGAACATCCATTTATTAAGTGAATATTACGTGCACAGCACTATGCTAAGTGTTTTACAAATTATAGAAGCCTTGGGCATAGGGAAGGAGGAAGTGTAGAACAAAACAATGAAAGAGGGCTGAGAATAGAACCCTACAACAAAACAGGAATAGGAGGAGGAAGAAAAGGCAGAAAAGGAGACAGAAAAGTAGTGATCAGAAAAGTAAAATAAGATACTTTCCTTTTTACTTTGAATGCTGAGGAAAGAAAATAGCAGTGTGTTCTGTTGCTGCACATATTAACAGGGAGGTTGATTTTCTTAGTTGTTTAAACCACAATTGGATACAGTAATTTTATTTTGTTAATTAGATTATTTAATTCTAGATGAGGAGAGACATTCTAAATATCTGTGGATCTTTTTTTTTTGGTGAGAACTTTTTGGTTTTGGTTTTTAATGCCCTAGAGAACACTGACATAGGTTAGTGAACTATGCCTTGGTAGTGTCAGAAACAACCAGAATGCCTAACTGGCCCAGAAAAGGAAAGCCCAGAATTGTCTCGATAATCATTGCTTTATTGTATATGACACAGTGTTACCAGAATGAAGTGGTGATGATGTAGGGTAGGAACAAATAACTGGAGGATGCTCATGGTAAGCAGACAATTAGCCAACTTGTAAAAAAAAAAAAAAAAAAAAAAAAAGACCAAGGGCCAGAAACAAGAACCAGAACATCACATACATTCTTTGCCTACATCTACTTCTACTTCCTGACTCCTTGCTCAAATATAGAATAAATACCTCGGAAACAAAGCAGCTAACTGCTGTTGAATTGTAGGATAATCTAAATCTATGAGACAGCTGACAATGCTAGTATAACACCATTCTCCCAAATGGTATGATACATTAAATTTCTATACATTATCCCACTTTGCCATGATCCTGGGGCTCTAGATTAGTAGATTATCATTGTCTTACTTTACATAGGGAGTAGCTGAATCAGGGTAGCATGGTGACTCAGCAATATTACCTAAAAAGAACTCATCTCCACATATCTCCAGTTCAGGATTCTTTCCACAAGGCTAACAGGAACTGCCTTTAAGATTAACTACTTTGCTCATGTTTAAGTAAGTCTACCATATTATGTCCCAACTGGGATAAACACACACACACACAGGGAGAGAGGGAAAGAGGGGGGGAGGGGAGGGAAGAAAAGAGGGAGGGAGGGGAATGTGTGTGAGAGAGAGAGAGGGAGGGAGAAGGAGCGGGAGAGGGAGAGGAGGAAGCATGTAGGTTTGCTGATTTTTTAAAGCTCAAGTATGAAAGCCATACTAGGACAGAGTTACTATAGTTTTGCCCCAGGGCACTGAAATTTAGAATGGTACTGAACTCTTAGTCCTTCAGTAGCATAAGAACAACTGTAATTAATACAATTTAGTAAGTTTTTTTTAGGTCTAGACCTGTGATTTCACCAGTACAGGAAGCTCTCTAGTGAGGAAACTCCTTCTATTAATGCAGATCAGCACCTGCTCTGAGACTTACAGTCTTAAATTGACTTATCCAGGGTCATACAGACAGGACAGTATGTGCTAATAATCTTTGTCTTCCAGACTCTGAGACAGGTTTTGTATCCACTATGCACAATGTCTTTCTAATGATTAGTTTAAACAGGAAATTTCCAGATGCCACCTTCCTCCTCCTGCAGCAGCAACACAGGTGAATGTATCCCCAGCATCCCACCCTCTATTAGTGCCAGCAATGTGTGGCCTCAGGATGTTGTAGGGTCTCTGATAACCTCTCCAACAGAACTGAGAGTGTGTTTTATATAATTTAGCTCAGTTTCAAAAGCTGCTATTTACAGCTCTGTCAGGAATGACTTGTTATCATGGCCAAGTTCATGTTTCTTTGATATTCATAAGGGAAAAATATTAAAAACAATCTGAGGAGAATGGTGACTAACATGGGAGGTAAACACATCATGTTAATGCCAATCTCCTTTTTCATTCAATTTTTGAAGGATTAAAAATAAATGAGTTTTTCAGGAAATGAGAGTTGCTTCAGATGCAGTATAATTTATCTATTTCTCCTGAAAGGTTACAATTCTCTGTGACCAGGACTAAAGCAGAGGAAAAATCTAGAGCATCACTAACAGATAATTATGAGGGAATGGTATGAAAAAGTAAGAGGGAAAACCTGTCATTATATCACAATATCAAATAACAACTTACTTTGGAGAGAAATTCCTCAAACACAAGTAGCTTTCTATCTTCAATTTTATTTTCATTACCTTTTGACTGAATCTAAGAGAAAAGATAGCCAATAGCCTCCTGAAAGAAGCTGGAAGTTATAGTGAACTTGACAAATAAGAGGGCTATTTCTGACTTTCCAATCATCCAAATTTTCTCCCCTTAGCTCCAAGCAAGTACACTATATGGACACAACTGCTCTTAGTGCTCCAATCTTTCCTATTCTAGAATTCTCTGGTTGCTGTTTCAAGCTTTTTACAGTTTCCCATCTCATGGTACCATCTCCCAACCCATCCCCAGCCCACTGCTTGTTATCCAGTAAACTAGGTGAATGTGTGGCATTTTCACAGAAAGCCTCCTATTTCTATTATATGCTCAAAACCTCAAAAAAAGTTTAGGAATAGCAGACATACATCAACAAGTCTCCAGGCTTCACTGATGATGGCATACTGGAGTCGGTTGAGAATAAACCCATCAACCTCCTTCCTTATTTTGACCGGTGACTGTCCAATCTTTTTCATTAGAGCGTATGTTCTCTCCATTGTCGAAGGAGCTGTCTCTGGATGTGGGACCAATTCAACCAATGGGACATAATATGGTGGATTTACCTTGACATAAGAAAAAAAAATGAAACAGGAAGAGTCAGAAGCACAGAATACGGCTTTCTTGCTATTGTTTTTAAAGCACAAAACGAAAAACTCTCTAATCCTCAATAACAATGTGAATTCAGTAACAGTGGGAATTCCCCTTACTTGGAAAGCAATGGTTTCTTTAGCATTAGCAGCCAATGGCAAACTATCTAAGAAACAAATTAATTAATAAAGAATGAAATGTCTTTAGAAGTTGCATTTTGACAACTAAACTAATAGTTCCCATTTTTATAAAACTCAAGTTACACAGTACTTTCACATTATCTCATACAAGTTTGATAAGTAATGCCATGAAGTACATAGTCCAGATGTTAGTAGCCTCATTTTGCAGAAAAGGAAACTGAGGCTTGGAGAATTCATTTTAACTAGACCCAAAATCGTCCTACTGGTAAGTGGAAGAGCCAGAGCTTCTGATTACGAATCCACTGAGTGCTCTTTCCACTAGACTAAACCACGCAATGGTGGAGATAACATGGGGTTATGAACATGAATTTAGGAGGAACAATCTAATTCTATGGGCAGTTTTTTGATTCTCGAGTTGTGGTTCCCCAATTCCTTTCACTGGTGGACCCTTCTGATATCTTGGCCAAACTTTGTGGGTTTGCTTCCAATTTTTAGTGTATGTTCCCCTCAATTTCCACAACTTATTTTGTTTCATAATAATTTCAGATTCCTGCTATTTTGTTCTTTCTCCCCCCACTAAAAACAAAAAACTTAGCAATAAATATCTTCTAGTAAACCATATTTTTTCTTCTTTCGTTTTGACTTCATTCTGATACAGTGTTTCAATTTCATCTAAAAAAATATGGAATGCTTCAAGAATTTGCATGTCATCCTTGAGCAGGGGACATGCTAATCTCTGTATCATTCCAATTTTAGTATATATGCTGCCGAAGCGAGCACAATAAATATCTTCTGCTTATATTACTATTATACCTTACCATTATCTCCTTTTAATTTCTCTACCCATTCTCTCAACCTTCATTTCCTTACCTTTCAACATCACTTTCTACCCCTAAATATTTCCACACAAACTACAACTCTACTTATGCCATAAAAAAAGGGGTGGGAGAGGGGGAGAAGAGAATAAACATTTATATAGCATCTACCATGTGTCAGACATTGTGCTATGTGCTTTTCAAATATCATCTCATTTAATCCTCACAACAACCCTGGGAGATAGGTACTACTATTATCCCACATTTTACAAGTAGCAACTGAAGCAAACAGAGGCTAAGTGACTTGCCCAGGGTCATATAGCTACTAAATGTCTGAGGCCACATTTGCATTCAAGTCTTCTCAACTCCAGGTCCGACTTTCTGGCCATTGCAAGACCTTGCTGCCCCAAATAAGAGACCCACAAGAGATCCCTCTATCTTAGAGCTTTTACCAAGAAGAAAATACTACCCAGTAGTCATGTGACCTCTGAAATACACAGAGGGCCCAAAATGAAAAGGGGCTTTGTAGTAGAAAGCACTCACAATTTTTCTCCCTCTCTCTCTTCCTTCCTATTTCTGTCATTCCTTCCTCATCCCTTCCAAAATTTTTCTGTGATAGATCTTCAGAACCTAAGATCATAGATTTTGAGGTTCCACTTAGAAAAACTGCTGTAGGGGGCAGCTAGGTGGTGCAGTGGATAGAGCACTGGCCCTGAAGTCAGGAGAACCTGAGTTCAAATGCGGCCTCAGACCAAACACTTGTCACTTACTAGCTGTGTGACCTTGGGCAAAAAAAACTGCTGTAAATAATCCTCACAGAATTACGCAGCTTCAAAATGACATTTTTCATAGAACTGGGCCTAAAAATTGTGATAGTAAGAAGTTAATAATAATTCATATTTTCTAATGCTTTAGAGTTCACAAAATATTTTCCTCACAATCACCCTGTCAGGTAGGTAAAACAGGTATTATTGTCTCCATTTTCCCCATGAGGAACCTGAAGCTCAGAGAGTCTTATCCAAGGCCACACAGCTACTTCATAGCCAAGACTTGATAGGATCATAGAAGTTATAGCTGGAAATGACCTTAAAGATTATCACGTCTGACCCTTCATTTTACAGATAAGGAAACTGAGAATCAACAAGGTCAAACGTTCTACTCAACATCACAAAAGGTACTAAATAGCTGATCTGGCCTTTGAAGATGGATCCACAGATTTCAAATCTAGTGTTCTTCTGATTTTTAATACCAGTACTCTTTCCATAAAGCCGTAATAATCCTTTTTATTAAAAAAATTATTGGTATCATTTTTTTTTTACATCATCTCATTCTCAAATACATCCTCCCTCCCTCCTTCCCTCTGAACCACCCTCTCCATCCCCAAACAAGCTATCATTTTTTGGCAAAGAATAAAAAATAAAGAAAAAAAAGTAGTTTGGCAAAAATTAACCATCATATAATCAAAGTCTAACAGTACATGCAATGTTTCACATTCACTGTCCCCTACCCCACAAATAAAGGAAGTGAGGTACATTTCCTTATGTCTTCTCCTGAGTCAAGCTTGGTTACTATGATCCTTTTCTTTTCTTCCCCCCCCATTATATACAGCTTTTTAATGAAAAATCTAAAGAGGGAGAGGTGAGAGGCAGTAGAACCCAACAAGGCCACTTCTTAGATGAGCAGTTTCTCATGTGAATAGAATCCATGGACATTACCTTTCACCTGTGCAGGTGATGTCCTCTTCTCAAATTTCAGCTTCCCTGAGTACATCATGGTTACGCCTTGAGTTAGACTCTTGGCACCAATATCCTGGCAGGAGTGCTGGCTGCGAGCAATCAGGCCGGGAACAAATCTGTGGATAGTCCTCTGTCCTGCACGGCCCCAGACACCACTTGAACCATTTTGATTTTGTCTGCTTCACTGAAGTAGTGGTTCTGGCTGCCACGGTTCTTGTCCAGCGCATTGAGGGAGCCCATCCTCTGGTATTTCTTTAGCCAGATCCCATCAAAAAAGTACTCACCTGGGGCCTTTGTGGTGGCCTCCAACAGAGGGCCCATCATCACTGTGGAAGCCAAGGGTAGGGACTTCAGTAGTGTGGCCCAAATTTTGGATGCCGCCATCAGCAATGATGGGGACACTGAAGCACTGTGCATATTCTGAGACCTTAAATACAACTGTTGCCTGGGGTCACCCACATGCCAGCACTTCCTGTGTAATGCAGATGGAGCTGCTGTCCATGCCAACCTGCAGGGCATTCACTCCAGCATCAATGAAGTTTTTTGCCTGTGTACAGCTGTCATTGCATTGCTATCAATAATGTGGAGGTTAGTGTATTTTTCCTTGATGTACTTGATCATGCTAATTTGGAAAATGGAGTTTCCTTGGGAATAGTCCAGTACGACCACATCAACACCAGCCTAGGCCAGCAAGTCAAGCTGATGCTTATCATCGTCATGGATGCCCATGGCTACCCTGCACAACCCAGTGTCCTTGGATGCCAGGTAGTAGTCTCAATTCTTCTTCACCTCCACATAGTCAATGATGGCTACTAGCTGGTCATTCTTATTCATAATAGGTAGTTTCCCTTTCTTGCTCTGCTGCAGGATTTCACTGGCTTCCTTTAGCGTGACTCTTGAAGGAACTACCACCATATCTTCCTACCTGGTCATGATCTCACCCAGGAAATGGCCATATTCCTCTTCCTTGAGAAAATCAATGTCATGAGAGATGATGATGCCCGCAAGGTGGCTGCCCATCTTGCCATTACCTGTGATTGGGATTCCACAGAAGCCATGCCTTGCCTTGGCTTCAAACATATCTCTGACTCCATCTTTGGGGCTCAGGACCACAGGGTCAGTGATGAAGCCCTACTCATATTTCCCCACTTTGTGTACTTCATTGGCCTGGAATTTTGAGGTGCAATTGTGATGGACAAAACCAATACCTCCTGTGAGCACCCTGGCAATGGTCATTCCAGCCTCAGCGATTGTGTCTACTGGAGACGAAGCAAGTGGGTTTTTCAGGGTCATTCTCTTGGTAAGTGCTGAAGTTAGATCTACTTGATCTGTGTGAAATCTATATAGCCAGAAGGATGAGGAAGTCACTGTACATGAGCCTGTTCCAGAAGCTGAAGAGTGGCTGTGCCATGAGCCCATCCTCTGGAATGTAACAAGTGCTACCACTGATGAGATAATCCGCCATGACAGGAGAGGATAGGGAGGAAAAGGGAGGAGGTGGGCTGGGCTAGGGAGACCCAGGTAGAGCCATGTGGGATTGATGCTTCTCCTGCAGAACTACCATGATCCTTTTCAATAGTTAATGTTCTATATTTCGAAGGTGACAATAATATCTATTTCCATTATTATCTAATAAGAAGCATCCAATTTAAAGATGTTTACCAAAAACCAACAAATAGCTCACCTCCTAGAGCTTTTATAATGCATTTAGTCTAGTTCTCCTCCTAGTTCAACTTATTATGTATGGTACATAGTAAACAGTAGTACCAAAACTGATCACCATAAATGGGGGGGGAGATAATAGACCCATTTCTTCCTCTTTACTTCCTTGCTCCTTTCACCCTGGCTGCCTCCAGTCTTGTCATTATAAACCCAGTCCTGGACTAACACTGTGAGAAGTGGGTACGTGAGGTATCTGAATGTATGTTTAAGGGGATAAAGGTAGAATGGGAAGTTAGTCCGAAGTAGAAGCATAGTCAATAGCTACAAAGTGAAAGGGAAAGCAGGAGGAAAAAAATTCTAAGCAAGCAGCACTGAGAAGGAAGAGGAATTTCTAGGATCATTGGGTTAGGGCAGCTGTCCCTGAGTGGCCATTCTTCTGTAAAGGACCTTTGGTAAATAAGTCAAGGGAAGTGGCAGGAATTGCTTGCATATCATTATCCTAAAAAAATCTTCAAAGGTCTATTTCAAGAAAGATTGATTTAAAAGTAGAAAATTACAAAGATGAGTTTAAAACTTGAGTTCAAAAACAGAATACTATAAAAGTTATTATCAGAGAAACTTG